AATACAAAGTGGGCCCCTACAAGGGTGTCTCTCAACTGAACCTGTCTGTAGAATTCGTGGCATTATGTTTTGACACAATTCTTGGGCCATTAGGTTACTCCACTTTCAATGATTGAGATTAAACTTGACATGACAAGTAGTTTTAATTTTTTAATTAGACAATCATTAATTTTCTTTTCTCTCTCATAAAAATAAAAGAAACGATTTTCTCTCCTTCATTTTTCTTGGTAATCTCTCGCATGCCTCTCTCTCTCTCTCTCTCTCTCTCTCTCTCTCATGAGACTAGAAAAAACCTCGATCTCTTTTTCTCTCTCTATCTGCAACAAGAGTCTCCTCCCTCCTATTTTTCATGAGACCATAAAAGACCTCCGTCTCAAAAAGAGACGAAATATAACCAAAAACTTGTTGAAGAGATGAAATATAACCAAGGCATATCTTTTTTATCAGAGGTTGAATCGATCATAAGAAGAAGAATTAGGCCAAAAATTAGGATACATTCTGGGAAAATAAAACTTTCATCGAAGAGAAGCAAATGAAAGGCTTTCATTTAGGAATTTTAATCTTCTTATATAAAAAAAAAAATTGACTATTACTGTTTCTTTTTTTTTTTCAATTAAGAACTTTTATCGTTTTAATATGGGGAGAATATAAAGTGAAAATTTGTTGCCACAATACTTGCTGATTATCTCGTGAAGAAGGCAAGTTCTATTGATCAACCTTCACTTTTACCAATTAGATGAGGTTAGAACTTCTTTAATTTGAATCACCATTCATGATTAAAAATGATGTTCTATAACTGGCAGCTATCCTTTTGGAACTATTGAAATTCTTTAGATCATTGAAAGTAGACATAGGGCTCAATTTTGATTAAGATTCTTATGCTTGAAAACTCATGGATAGTATTCTTACAATGTGAACAGGATTTCAGAACATTAGAGATGAACAATGTCTAAGATAGCACCTGGATGAACAATGCCTTGGAGGGAAAATCATTCTTTGAGTTACAGATGGTTGTGAATCATGAGCTTAATAAGCTGGGCATTTACCATTCCAGAAATTGGCTACAACTATGATATTAAGTTTACTTGAAATTTGATTAATTTCCCCTGAGATATGCACTGAGAGTTGGAGGAAATATCTTGCGTGTGCTCCAACATTTTGATGAGACAATATCTGTATTAAGATAGGAGAAATTGCTTTGACATAAAAGAAGTACTAAAGATGAATTGATGGCTGCATATGCATGTGCGTGAAGAAAGGAAAACTGAAGAGACTCTTCACGGTTTCGGCCTTTAGTTTTTGGCGAGATTCTTTATTTATTACGCCTTAATAAATATTTGATATTAAAGAGGTAGCTAGGATTACGTCTCCGATAAAAAAGGGAGGAGACAGAAAATCGTTTCTTTTATTTCTATGAGAGAGAAAATAAAATTAATGATTTTCTATTTAAAAAATTAAAACTACTTGTCATGTCAAGTTTAATCTCAATCATTGAAAGTTCAGTAATCTAATGGCCCAAAAATTGTGTAAAAAATATTGTGCCACGAATCCACCTCTATATATAGATCCCGAGCCTCTGCATTTAGAGTCCACGTATTTACTAACATTTAACTTCATTTCGGTCATTGCAATGATCAAACGACTTAAAATATGACATGTCATTACAACATAAAGTTTAATTTTTCTTAACTAACGTTAGTCCTCGTCGTTTCGTCAAAGCCTCTCTCCCCTCCTTGCTCTCTTCCCTCTCTAGTCTCTCTCAATTCTCGCTTCCCATGAATATCTACTACTCGGCATCTTGAATTAAATTCCCAATTTTTCATACAATTTGAATCCATTCCCCATAAACATATGCTGAAGCATCTCTTCTCTTCCTCATCGTGAGAAGGTTCGAGTCATGACAAACCTGAGCTCTAACTTGGGACTTCGGCTTGGGCCCTCCAAGTTCTCCTCGCCGCGACTCTGAGTGCTTGGTTCACTATTCGGCTTAACTTTTTCTAATGAATCCTAAAAAATATCCTTCAAATAAAATTATTTGAGAGATCCTTCAATAATTCAAATTATCTATTTTTTATGATTCATTTATGATTCCCGTCCTTGTAGCTAACCCTGTTTGCTTCCTCATGCAAGATGCATGCACTTTCCCTTCTTCTCATCTTGATATCTGAATTTGTTTTCATTCCCTAACGCACTCAAAATGCACATCAACTTTCACCTTTCCTAATTAATTTCTTCGACCGTGATTATAAAAATACAAATCTTTAATTGACTTTTACTGTATTAAAATGATTGATCTACTTTTGTTGTTTTTACTGGTCCCATTGCTTTTTTTTTTAAAAATTTTTTTAAAAAGAAGACATTGATTCTATGGTCCATCTTGAAATTGAAACATAAAACATTTTATAGGTATAAAATAAAATGGATTCTACATTTTACACGTCATTTATCTATATCAATTTTGAGCTGTGGATTACAAGTGGTAAAGTTCTACTTCTTTAGGTTTGCGATTTAATAATAAAAATTATAGGAAAATCGAAGTTAGTTCATGAATGTGTAACAATCTCTTAAATGAAAAATCAAGTGAGAACAAGAAAAGTACGATGATATTTTTGCTCGTCACTTTAACTTAAGATATACTTTTACCGCCATTCTCAATAATTGACATTCATAAATATAACCATAGCTAATTCTTTATTTTATATTTGAGAAATCATTGTTATATGTCAAGCGTGGAAAAAAGTGATGTACACAAAAATGCCCACAGAGGATGTAGTAGGAGTGTGAGTAGATTTGAATGTTAATTAATTGGCAGCTAATATGATTAATAACATGGGATGGGATCGATCGATGGGCGCGTAGAGCTAGCTTAATTAGCTTGCTAGCTGTGACCTCTCTCTTCTTCTTAATTAACAATTAAATTAAGCGTTGAACTGAAATGCTTTTTAAGATTACAAATTAAAATTTACAAGTTAAGAATAATTAAGAAAATATCAATTAAGTAAGAGAAGGTGTGCCGCCACACTTGTGGCACTTATTAGAAACCACCGGAATCTGACGGCACGAGGGGCAGGACGAGTGCGATCGCAGCCACACGTCGATGCACGCCACGTGGAAGCGGTGGCCGCACTGCGGCAGCTCCCGGATCTCGTCTCCCGCGGCGAACTCGGTTAGGCAGATGGCGCACTCGGTGAACTTGGAAGTGCAGTCCGCCGTGTAAGTGAGCTTCGGGAGTGAGCGTAGGATTTTCTTCTTCAACCCCTTGTTCGGCGGAGGAGTCGGCAGCGGAGGAGGAGGAGGAGGTGTGGCAGCGGTTGTGAGGCGGCGGAGCCAGACGCAGCGAGCCACGACGAGGAGGCCGAGGACGCAGACGAGAGCGCAGAAGAGGGCGAGAAGGATCAAAGCGGAGTCGGAGCCCATGTTGGCTGACGGTTCATCGTCGGGTTCGGAAAACAGTGAGGGAGGGTTAAAGGAGCCGCCTAACAGTCGCAGAGGACGAGTCATGTTTTGTGAATGACTGTGAATTTGGTGAGAGAGAGAGAGAGAGAGAGAGAGAGAGAGAGAGAGATTTGGGTTTTGGTCGCGGGGGGGGTGCCACACGTTTTTGTGTTCGGGAGAAAA